GCCGTAAGCATTCACATTCACATTATTAACGTTAAAGTTTTCAATACCTCCCCAAAATTGAATTGCACATCTTGTCATGAAAGCAATCAGTAAATCGGTCTGCAACTTTTCTAGTTACAGGGGTGTACCTAAACTAAAGTCTAAAATCCCGCCGGAGCGGCGGCGCGGTGGCCGGCGCCGGCTGATTCAGTTCTCGCTGCCGGCGCCGGACGTCCATTAGGGCGTCACCAGGCCGTCACCAGGGTGTCACCAGGGCGTCACCAAGGCACCACCAGTCCGTCACCAGGGCGTCACCAGGGCGTCACCAAGGCGTCACCACTCACCAGGCCGTCATGCAGATATTTCCAAGCCAATACCGGCGCATTCAAGGAGCATTTCCCAAGGCTGTGTCAACAATGGCTGTGTCATCGTTCAGGAGAAAGTGGTGAATATAATAGTATATATTGCAGAGCGAAGAATCATGGAGTACATTGTTGATTTCCTACATTTCTTTAGAATTGCAATACTTTTATATGTGCATGACGGTTTTTATAAATTACATTTTTGCTAACTTAATAAGGCTGTGGTACACATTCTATCTGTTAGCCCCTTCCTAATAAAGGTAGGGTAGCCTGGGGCAAGACGCCCCAGATAATTTATTTTGCTACATAACTTTTGTCCCACATCACCTGGAAGGCCAAATTTGTGCTCAATGCGTTCTTTGGACATTTTACTTTAAATTCCACCCGTCAAATTCATTCACTTTTGATCGAACTCCCAGCTAGGAAGTGATTTGTGAAGCAACTGCAAATGGGGCATTTTGCCCCAACCCCAGGGCAAAACGCCCCACGGCCTGGGGCAAGAAGCCCCATACTCTAGATTACAGATTAAACATGCTAGTTGACTAAATCTTATATGAGAGGCCCGTTAGACCTTGGGAGGCACGGAACTGAAGTTAGCCCCTTCCATCCTGTCAGGTGTTCAGGTATGACACTATTGTATGTACAGGTTTTTCACCTGGCTCATAAGGCCAAATAATAAATTATTGCAATGCAAATGTTAACAAAATACTTCCTTTGCCATTAATTTGCTGAGAAAAGCACATAAAATTGCATAGAAACTTACTGTTCGCCAGTTACCGAACATTAGGAAGTGGGTATTCGGAACAACACATGAGTTAAAACGCCCCATGGGGCTTTTTGCCCCGCGACCTACTTTGGCGTTTTACCCCATCACGTAGTTCGGTCAGGGAACAACGCCTTGCACTCCAGCAAGAGATAATTTAAAACGGACCAACCCATTATTATAAGCGTTAGACACTAGTTGTTCAAAATACATAAAAGTCATTAACCTGACGTGGACAATAAAAGAACGCCATGATGCATAATCTGACTGCAAACCATAAAAATCACACCAAAAACAAATTTTTGGCTATATCTCCCTAAAGAGTTATCACAATTTCTTTCCAGTTTGCTCATATAATGATCATATAGTGCACGTTTTATAGAAGAGAGGATGTTTCCCCAGAACCTGGCCAGTTCCGAGAAACATCGGTGAGGCGTTTTACCTCGGCGGGGCGACTTGCCCCGGTCTGCCCCCCTGTTACTACTTTTATGATGACATGCAATTATTCACCCGCACCCCGTTGAGGCGTGGCAGGTTCCAGGCCATGTTGGGGGAGGGGGGAAGGGGGCAAAGGGTCTCCCGTCGTATCTCCGGAACCAATAGTCAGATCGGAAAAATTCAAACAGCATTCGAAAGAACTCATCAAAATGCACAAGATATGACATCGATGACCACGATTTTTGACCTGTGACGTTACAGAGATAAGGGATGTCAAACAAGGTCAAATCTGTTCTGTTTACAACGACGAGATATCGGTCACAAAAAATAAATTAGGTTTCTAAAATGATTCTGAATATGACGTGTATATTACATCTGACATATGGATAGCCACCTGAAAGGATGGTGACCTGTGACGTCACAAGAGAGGTCAGTCTCTCCTTCACAAAAACAAGTCGAGATAGGTATTAAGTTCTGAGTGATCTAGACTGTTTTAGGCACAAATGCTGAAAACAGTTTAACATGATAAGAACAGGCTGTATATTTTTAGTCTTTCAGATGGCTATATCTCTGGGAGTTTTAGAGATATTTTGATGATTTATGGCATGGGTATCATGTAATGGCAGTGATGTGTTCTTTGACATTACTTCTGTTTTTTTTTTTTTTAATTTATCACAATTTCAAAAATATGTCCAGAAATCTAAATTTGGAATTACAAAATCTCAAGATAAATATTTTTTATGTTTGGGAAATTTCGAGATAGGTAATAAGTTGCTTGACATGCTTTTTTTGTTCCTAAGGTTTAATTGGTGAGCCCCTAATTTGATAGGCTGATTTTCTGCGATGTTTCTCCGTGAACTCTCGACCAAAAATAGCTGAACATTACCTCAGTTTGACTCACGACCTGAGATGAACTAGGACCTAATTTTTCAGGAGTTGTGTGAAATTAATGTCCGGAGATGTAGGTACTGAAAACGGCGAGTCGAAATTCTCAGTCGTTTCTGAGCTATCTTACGCATGAAGGTGAACTTTGAACGTTTTTCCTTGTCTGGCTGTATAAATACAGAAAAAATGCCAAACATTCAATAATTTTTTAGTCCAATTCACACCAAAAGGTAACACCTAAAAAGGGTTTGTAATTAAGCCGCGTTAGCTTCTAAAATCCCCAATGTGCATTGCACTTACGGTACTCGCTTGAAATGGAGGCCAGAGGGATAACCTTAGAGACAAAATGTTCCGTTGTCTCCTATATGAGACCAGTTGACGTCATAAGGTCAGCAACAGTAACCCGGTTTATATAGCATATTTTACGAGGCTCTAGCTCGTTAATTTGGCGATAATTTCGTTGCAGTGGTCTTCAAATATTTAGAGGGGATCATTTTGTAAATTGTTAAACACCATTGGCATCTTTTGCAACATCACGGACGGAGATATAAGCTTGCAACAAACCCTATGGAAACGCGACTAGTCTTTCGACATTAACTTTTGATAAAGGCATGTCATAGCAATGACAATACCCAGGAAGTGCTCGTTTCAACATAAAGGACGGGGTACAAGACGAGCTGGTATTGACCGATGAGTTCAGTACCTTGACTACCTACAGATCAACTTTTAGTAGACCTGAATACCTATGTCAGCGTGAAATTGAACCCTCTCGGTGAAAGAAACATGGAAGTGGTAAAAGAAGCCTGATAGGGGAAGCGGGGGTAACACCGCCCCCCTAAGCTTTTCGCCAAAATGAGAGAATATGTGTGAAGTCTCTTGGTAGTTATTGTCTTGGTTACAATATTTAAACATTTTCTCACGTGTTTTAGGTTCTTATTTTGCATGCTCCTAAAAGGTTTTCATGTATCACGACTTTTAAAAATACCTTGCATATTTGCCGCCTACAAATTGTGTGGGTAACCCCGCCACCGGTGTTGATGTTAACCCAACCCATCCCTACGAAAGCTTTTAATTGTTCAGAGATCGCGTGCGATGAGTTTCCTGTCGGTAAGTGGTAATTTTTGCAAATAATCGGTATGGACACCTAAATAGGTTAGGTTCATCAGCTGTTTGCCAGTTTTATACAGCTGGCAAGTGCTTGGTCGGGATTCATGAAAAAATATAAAGTAAAAAATCAAATAAGCTGCTTATTCCCGACTAAGGAACATCTACGAACATAAATAAAGCGTGTCTTTGGAGTTTCATCACTTATCACGCTACGAACAGGAAACACCGCGACCTCAATTGGGGTAACACCGCCACGGGGTGGCGGTGTTCCCCCAATAAGTGATCACAAGCAAAAATCGCCAGCGGCAAGAATGTACTACACGGTTCAAGCAAACCTATCTTACTGGACAAAGCCGATCAGTTATTTTTCGATGTAATCAAGTAAATCAAAATGAATCTCTACTTAAAGACATTCAAAAGTGCTCCCAACTCATCGAATTTTTATAAGAGAATGTGCATTTTTCTTTAAATGCCCACATTGAGCTTCGATTACACTGAAACACCGGAACACAAATCATAAGACGCTTACCTTCGTGCGGTTAATAGGAAATAACGGATTTTTACACTTTATAGTTCATACTTTCGCCGCCAGATGGGGTGGCGGTGTTTCCCACAGTGGCGGTGTTCCCCCCGCTTCCCCTACAGCACTTCAGTCAAAATGCATTGCACTCATTGCAAATGCACTGTTTTAGCAAAAAAGTTTCTTTTATACCCTAAGTGGGCCAACCTGATATTACGAGGACAGGACACATGTACCTAAGGAAAATAGCTTCTGGAGAGTTATGTATTGCATGATTTTTATTTTATTTTATAAAAAGCTATAAGTTTGACCAAAATTGTAAAATCTAGTAAGTTGACTGTTCCTAACCTTTAGGTTCTTGGCCATTGACCTCACCTAAAAATGGCCGAATTAAATTTCCTCTATTTTTTTTTTTTGCCTTCCGAATGCTGTTTACAACTTGCCGCTATGTGGCCCAGAAGCTGAGTAAAACGGTATACGCATGTACGTGTTCAGCTCCTCCCCCAGCAGGGCGTAACGATCTACATAGGAGAGACTCATTGAGCACTGGCAAATTGAAAAGTCGCAACACTACCCGCTAAGAGAATGAAATAATCCTATAAGTTAAAGAACGAAGAGGAAAGGGCGGTATATGCATTATGCAAACTATCCAAGGGGTCGAGCACTATGTATACTAACTATGTACATGCATTAGTACTTACATATGACATTTCTGGGTCACATATGGCGTTGCTGGGTTTTTGTCGTTTCTGCGTTACAGGCAGGCAACATATGTGATGAGTCACTGTTCGAAGACCTTTTTGCACATGTTTTCTAGCGCACATCTATATGTAGACAGTTTGTTGCAGTCATAACCAAAACACGACACCAGGATAGTTTACACAGTAGGTACACCTATATGCGCCATTCTGAAGTGGTGGCGATGACATGCCCAGGCGGTATAAATAGGCTCTGTCCCGCGGTGCTGTCGTCCCAGTCAGCCCTGGCCGCTCGCCGAGGTCACAGGATGAAGACATGTCAGCTGCTGGTCCTCGGCTGCCTGCTGGCCGGCGCTCTGGCGCTGCCCAGCACACTCCAAGACCAGGAAGGTGGGTACGAAGCGGGAAAGCCGTTGGCTGAGAGGCCCGAGTTTGATGGTAAGATGTCTGATAATACAGCACTGGAGTTTGATGGTATGGAGCCGCACTTTGATGGTACAAAGAGACCAGCACCCGAGGACAGGACGCTGGCTCCACTCGGCGACTCTGACACTCCCAGCGCGCGCTCCGGGGCGCTGTCCTGCGGCTCTCATGTTATCGCCGAAGGCTCGTCGGCAGTTATCGAGTCGCCAAACTATCCGTCCAACTACGACAACTACGCCTACTGCGCCTATTCGTTCACCACCGACACCGGTAAGGAGCTCCAGCTGAACTGCGAGACATTCGAGCTCGAGGGCGACGAATCGTGCGAGCAGGACTGGCTGCGGGTTAATGACATCAAGTACTGCGGCTCCAGCGGGCCGTCGGCCGTGGGTGGATCTCGTCTCGACATCGTCTTCTTCAGCGACAAAAGCACCGCCACTGCGGGCTACCGGTGCACGGTGACGCTGGCGGAGCCGACCGTGGTGCCGGCCGGCTCGCACCTCAGCTGCGGCACCAGCCGGCTGGCGCGCGGCGAGCACACCATCACCGACGGCGACGGCGACTACGGCGACAACGTCGACTGCTACTACCAGCTGTACGCCGACCAGGCCGGCGACCAGCTGTCGGTGACGTGCTCGCAGTTCGACGTCGAGTACGACTCAATGTGTCTTTCCGACTGGCTGTCCCTGAACGGCATCAGATTCTGCAGCACCCGCAGACCGAGCGACGTGGCTGCTGTCGACCGCATGTCGATCCACTGGCACACTGACCGCAGTTCGGTGCGGCCCGGCTTCGAGTGTACCGTCACCGTCGAAGAGACGCCGCCGCCCTCCGACGCCTGCGCCTGCGGCCAAGTCAACCGCGCCTCGCGCATCGTCGGCGGTGAGGAGACCGAGGCCAACGAGTACCCGTGGCAGGCGGCTATATTCGCGAGGCATTATTATAACACTCTTTTTTGCGGCGGTGCCATCATCAACAGTCTCTACGTGCTGACGACAGCGCGCTGTACGAGCCAAGTGTCGGCCAGCGATATCCAGGTCCTACTGCGCAAGCACCTCACCGGCCAGGACGACAACGAGATCCGCTTCAGCGTCGCCCAGATCAAGGCGCATCCGTACTACGATCCGGACACACACCACAACGACTTCTCGCTGCTGAGGCTGGCCACGGCCATCACCTTCCCCGCCGACAACAAGATCGCGCCCGCCTGCATGCCGACCGCCTCCAACGACTTTGTCGGCGCCGACGCCATCGTCACCGGCTTCGGCACCACCTCGCACCGCGGCCCCAAGCCCGCCACACTGCAAGAGGCTAACGTCCCTATAATGAGCTACTACAAATGCGCGTCTGCCTACCAGAGAAGAACGACGAGAACCGTCACCTCCAGTATGATCTGCACCGGCCTGCTGGGCTTAGGCGGCAAGGGCTGGTGTCACGGAGACCAGGGCGGCCCGCTCGTCAGCTTGGAGAACAACCGCTACTCGCTCGTCGGCGTCGTCTCCTGGTCGATTGGCTGCGCGCGTCCAGACTACCCGGGCGTGTACGCCAGGGTCACTGATGCGCTGTCTTGGATTTGGACCAGCGCCGCCGACGGCGAGTACTGCCGTGACCCGGCCGCCAACTGAGGCTGACCGGAGGCAGCGGCCAGCCGTCCCATGTCGGCAGGGGCTGTCCCACATCTGCAGGCGCCGTCCAATATCCAGAGGCGCCGTCACATGTCCACAGGGGCCGTCCCATGTCTGCAGGGACCGTCCCATGTCCGCAGGGACCGTCCCCAGGGGCTGTCACATGTCCATAGGGACAGTCCGATAGGCCTTGACTGGATGGATTACAGGGTCATTAGAGGCATTATGGGGTTTGAGTGAGCGGTGGAGGGTCCATATATTTTAGACTAGCATGAGTGCTTGAATGAAAATACAGTTTTAATTTGTGTTAGCTATTTCCTTCACAGGAAACATGTATCTAGCGTAATGCCCAGTTTATGATTGCAGTTGCTAAAATCAAGCCATTTTAGGCATTGACGCTTGGATTTGAGTGATGCTTTAATACAGATGCAGTGATGGGATATTCTATTGTGTATCTAAACACTGAGCGAGTGTCTCTGGAACTAGAGAGTCGCTGCTCGCTCCCGCGCCTGATCGGCTCCGGTAGGTTTGACCGCTGACCAGTAGAGGTCTGCATAGGCCGGCTGTAGCCGCGGCTGGCTGCATCCCTTTTCGGGGTGCTGATTACGAATATTATGTTAGTTTTGATCACAGATGATGTCTTCATGCACTTAGGCCAGGTCGGGTCAGGTCAGGTCAGGTCAACCAGTAGGGGTCCTGCCGGGTATTCGTAATAGGTGTCAACCGCCTCTGACAGCTTCGCAACATGTTACGAAGGCACCAAAACTGTTTCGTAAACGTTCATATGGTTGTTAAATTCGAATTCAGCTCCAAAAACTGGCCTAGAAACATGTAAAACTCGAAAAAGTGAACCGAGGTCATCAAAGGTCAATGACCTGACCTGACCTTCAGGTGACCTTGACACCCACCCTAATGCATGGGACCAACATCATTTCAGATGTTTGAACGCTTGAAACCACGAAAATTTGTGTTAGCTATTTCCTTCACAGGAAACATGTATCTAGCGCAATGCCCAGTTCATGATTGCAGTTGCTAAAATCAAGCCATTTTAGGCATTGACGCTTGGATTGGAGACTGTAAACGCGCCGCTAATGCGAGCCGACATACGCCGATTCGCGATTCCGGCCAAACATGGTCTCGAAAAGTAGGTCACAGTTCAAAGGTCATTTGGGTCAGGGTCATGAAATTTTCAGGGTAGGTGTAAAATTGATCAACTATAGAGGGTACTGTAAGTTTTATTGCTATCGGCCGCTTTTTACGCGAGTTATTCGCGAAAAACCGAGGGGGGTCCGTTCGACCCTCCCCCTATACGGGCGAGGGTTAAGGAATCAAGACGTAACAAAAAAAGTTATGCGTAATTCTAGTTTGTCTGTCAAATGGCTATTTTAGGTTTTGATTTTTTTTTGATTTTGGTCCATGTTTTCTAAAAAACTGACTTTTTTTTGGGAAATTCAATATACCTAAAATCCAAAATTTTGTTTAGGTATATCGAAAAAACAGGTATATATCTATATATATATATATATATATATATATATATATATATATATATATATATATATATATATATATATATATATATATATATATATATATATATATATATATATATATATATATATATATATATATATATATATATATATATATATATATTAGAGATGTGGTCTATGTGCACCTACAAAACAAATTTTAGAAGTATCAGTTCAAAAATGTGGGTGGTATTCAAACTTTTATGACGTCACGAAACACACAATTTTCGAAAAATGAAATATATGGAACTTCTTGACCTCATACGGGAACAAAAATGGCACCATTCGATTCGACGTGAAAAACGGCATCAGATAGACACCTTTTTAGGTCTTAACAATAAACTTCAAAATTTGACCTCGCTTGACCTGACCGTGACCTGGCCTTGATCTGAAATTCATCCAGGTGTGGTCCATATCACTAATTGACTGTGCCCATTGAATTCTGTGATTAAAATAACTTATAAAACATGTGTCGCATATGCCCTCTTCTATATTTCGTATTTGGTGACCTGACCTGACCTTGACCTTGACCTTTGCATGACATTGTATGCAACGAATCTTGTCTTAGTAGCCTAAGAACACGTTTTGGGCAATCAGTCTCAGTCCATTCTTCGGCAACTACGGTGCAAGGCCGATACTGTAGAAACTTGCATTTTTTACCCTTCACCTGACCTTGACCTGACCTCTGACCTACTTAAGCAAACAAAATCGGCTCTTAACATCCGCCTTTTTGCGGGCTTTCGATTGACGTTTTCCCCGTATTTCTACGACCATCGGTTCGGAAGTTAGACATGGGGGGGGGCAGATTCTGCCCCCCCCCCCCCCCAGCAGGGCGCGTATGGCTGAATAGCCCAGCGCACTATGGGTCCGATGCACGATTTAGCACGCCAAAAATGATTTAAGTGACTTTCTCAAAATGGCTTGAAATGTGACACAAATAACGTAAAAATGTCCATATTTTGCGAACACAGCAGTAACTTTTGCCAAAAATGTCACATGTACCCAATATTTCATCGCAAACTGACACATATCGTGGAACGCCATTGCCTTGTCCACGTCCGAGAGAAAAGGGATGTTGGAATTATCCGAGTATAGGCGGTTCTAAATAATAGTTAAACGGAAATATTTGGTCAAAACTAATAATTTGAAGCTTGGACAATGTGATGAATGCAAAAAAAGTGAGCTGTGTCATTGCTTTTTTATTGTCACAGCTAATTTAAATATCCATGTCACAGATGTGTGTGCAATGCTTCAAGAGACTTACAAATACAGAGCAATACTAAATGCCCCCCAATGCCCCCCGGTATTTTTGGTATTACCTTGCTCCCCAATACTTGCCTGACCAGAAACAAGGTCATTTAGCTGCGTCCACCTGCGACGAAGCAAGTTATGAAGCTTTTTCCAATGATGTCACTGCGCTTAGCTGCGGCTGTGACATACCGGCGAGCGCTGCGGCAGGGTCACAAAGGCAAAAATACCAGGGTATTGGTGGATACGACTAATGTATGACAGAAACTCATAACTGATGGCTTTGCAAAAAAAAAAAAAGGCAGTTCTTTCGGGTTAGCGGTCCGAATTCCGGACATTTCGGCACTTGTCTGGCGACCTGGCCCTCAGGCGGTTTGACCGCGTGCCCGGCCCACTGTACCCACGTGGCCGGGGTAGTTTGAGCTTGATTGTAGCGAGCGCACGTATATTCTTGTCGTTCCATCACTAGCAAAACAGGCAGATAAGCAATGTGTATTGCTTACAAAGCCATTCTTGACACCGTCTTGACCAGTCCAGATGTAGGGCCGGTTCAAGTAGAGGATTTTTCAGCTAGCATTGCTCGTATTTTGAATGTTCAATTGACGACTGATGACATTCGAGCACTGGGAAAGCTGCTTAACAAGTTAAAGGAAAAATGGATAGCCGCTCATCGCAATGAAGATCGCTTTCTGTCAAGAAACCAAAATTGGACTCAGCTGACATTTTGTCTGTCAGAGGCCAGAGCCTGCAACCTGAAAACGGTTGACATAAAAACGTCCAGCACTACTATATACAGGGTGTCCCAGAATTACCCGGACATTGTTAATTAGCGTATAAAATAAGGCAAACATGATTGCGCTTTTTTTCTTTTTATTGTCCTATATAGTCAACTAGGGTGGCTGTGAAGTAGCACATGCAATAGATGCGCTTGTTACAAGATCAGCCGACAATGATTGAAAATGCCAGCCATTGCTGGTCTCAGTTGTTTTACGGCTCTCCCGAAACTGGGTGAAGGCCTGTTTTCTTTGACCTGTTGCCGGAGGATAATACGATCATATAAGATAAACTTAACATCAAAGTGTTCCCAGGTCATAAGGCATTATCCCCCAAAACAAAAATTGCTGCCTACACCACTTTTGCCGCGTTTTTTACATCTGAAGTGGAGAAACTCCATGTCTGAACATGGCAGGACCTTTGGCTTCCAACAGATTTGGTTTCCAAAACAAACCCGTTCATGGCCATTTGGCTTACGGCATCCAGTTTTTTTAGTGGTAGAATATTACCGCAGTAGTACTCTGTGCTAACGGTTGTCTTTGGGCCATCATATCAAGCCCAATGAGTGCACGGTGGCTCAAAATGTCTCACAATTTGATTTTCGACGGGTGCCTGGCCGTCTCTGCTGTTGGGGCGTTGTAGTCATCTGACGTTCACACACGCCTTTTTCGGGCGGTTCAAATGACAGAATACCTTCGTTAGACCACAAAGTGTGTGCTTCAATTTAATTTTTGGTTGTATATATTATATTTTTGGGGTGAATTGTAGTGATTTTCGCTGCTTTTCCCGTAGTTTTCGCATATTTTTCAGGCGAGGGACCCCAAGGCCCAAATTCCAAAATTTTGCGAAGATAGTGGTGGAAAGTAGACTGATGTTCTTTAGATAATCCTGATCTATCGTTTAGCTAGTTTTTAGCTAGATCAGTGTCCAGTGACGTTTGTTGTCCATGACAAGCAACCACCCGTTTGACAACTGGTGCATGGCCCTTTTTGGCCGAGCCCAAGCTTGTCAATCAGGTTTATCTCTTGCTCTCTCTGGCTTCGTTAGCTGATATAATTGCGCTTTGCTCAATCCTAACTGCTTGCAGATGAGCTGCTGAAGCTCTCCAGCAAAAACCATGCCGAAAGTCCGTTTACAAAGTTGAAAACGGGAGTTGATTCACCATGGTTGCCTATTAGTGGCTTAAGCTGAAAACGGAAAAGTACTACTCTTACTTGACTCTGGATAATACTTGACTCGAGTCGTTACCGGTCACCAAAAGCACACAGTCCCCAAGCTCGATAGCTAAGGGATATCTTATAAAAGCATGATGCTTGTATATCATTAGAATCGAGCGCAATCGTACTTTTAGCCAGAAAATAAATGTCCGGGTAATTCTGGGACACCCTGTAGGTACACACGTCACATATCACATGTCACACGGTTCCTACATGTTTAGAAATCACGCAAAATCCATTTCGGATGTTCTGGCTTTCATCTCTGATGTAAAAGCAGCCATTAAATGGCAGTTATCATTTTTGGCGTGCTAATTCCTGCATCGGACCCATAGTGCAGCGGGGCGCGGGGCCTCGTCGTAACCCTCGCCGGACCTATTTATTGGTTTTCTACATACGCGCCGGCCGAGGGGGATGGGGGCGGGGGCGGGTATGACCTCCCTCGCCATTTCGCCCCTGGTGGAGCTAGCGCGTCGCGGAAGAAACGAGCGTGTGCGCCGTTACGAGACGCAGAGATTGATACCCGATTTTAAGGTCCTAGGTCAACCGGTGACCTCTGAGGTCAGGTCAAGTGCCCCAAGGTACGGTTCCATTTTTGGTGAATAACTTCGCAAAAAAAACGGCCGCAGAGCCGCGATTTTGGCAGCATCGTGTTCGTCTCGCCCAGGCGCGTC